CAGGCTAGAAAACACAAAGTCTCCAAGGCAGTTTAGCCATTGCACATGATTACTTACTATTTTGTTGTGTTGCCTGCTGCAAAGCTGTCTGCTAGTGGAAGGAATTCTACCCTGTTTCTCCAAATTTGCTCAAAATCCTTTGTTTACCATTCTGTTCAAGTAGTGTCCTGGAACTAATTGTACAAATAAAGTCAGTTGCGGTCTTACTTGTCTGTATGGGCAAGGTAAAATGTTTGCTCAAAAGATTAAAAAGTTGCTGGCTTTTTATATTCATTCTTGAATGGATAAAAATTTTACCATCCCCCCCAAAAATAAAACATAATTAAAAAAATTACCTTCTTGCTCTGTTTTTTCACTGAACATATTTCATAGAACCATAGCATAGTTTGGGTTGGACTGAACCTCTAAAGGCCATCTAGTCCAACCCCCCTGCAATGAGCAGGCTCATCATCAACTAGATCAGGTTGCTCAGAGCCCCGGCCAACCTGACCTGGAGTGTTTCCATTGTGTCTTAGCAGAGGCCAGATGTGAGTAAGAGCTTGAAAAGGGATTGGAATTGAGTTGGAGTAGGGGCCAGAGCCAAGCTGGAGCCAGGGCAGGAGCTGGAGCTGAGTAAGATCACGAGCAGGGGCTGGAATTGTCTTGGAGCTCAAACAGGGGCTAGATCTTGTGTAGCTGCTTGTGCAGGGACTGGGGCCAAGCTTGGGCCTGAGGAGGGTCTGGAACTAATTAAGAGCTAGAGCAGGCATTGGAGTTGAGTTGGAACTCAAACAGGTGCCAGATCTGAGTAGCTTCTTGTGCAGGGACAGGAGCCAAGCTGGAGCCTGAGGAAGGGCTGGATCCAAGTTATAACCTGAGCAGCAGCCAGAGCTGAGTAAGTACTTGAGCAGAGGTGGGAGTTGAGTTGAAATCTGAGCAGGAACCAGATCTGAGTGGCCACTTGAGTAGGGGTCATAGCCAAGTTGGAGCCCAAGCTGGGGCTGGAGCCAAGTTGGAGTCTAGCATGGGCTGGAGCTCAGTGAGAGTTTGAGCAGGGGCTGAGGATTAGTTGGAGTCAGAGCCAGTGCCAGATCTGAGTAGCTGCATGAGGAGGGTCCAGAACCAAGCTGGAGCCTGAGCAAGGGCTGGAGCTGAATAAGAGTTGCCATTGGAACAGGCTGTCCAGGGAGGGGGTGGAGTCACCATCACTGGACGTGTTCAAAAAACGTGTGGACGTGGCACTTCAGGACATGGTTCAGTGGGCATGGTGGTGCTGGGTTGATGGTTGGACTTGATGACCCTAAAGGTCTTTTCCAACTTTAATGATTCTGTGATTCTGTACTAGATGGTCTCCAATGATCCTTTTCAATCTACATGATTCTGTGAGGACATGAAAGACCAGCAAAAGGCTTTATGCCTTGGGTAGATGCTTATGAGGTCATTTCTGCTTGAGCACCCAATAGGCCAGCAGCAGTCCAAGGTCTGGCATGTTAATTGCAAGGTCACTGCTGCTATATTTCCAGATACCTGCACAGCTGGCATGTGCTTTAGATGCTCATTTTGAATGCACCCCTGTCTCTGCAGGAGACAGGCCAACCCCAGGCTCAAGGCTGGGTTCAGTGCCTGGGGAGTCATTTCTTCATGACTACCTGGCAGGCCAGCAGCAGGCACATGGTTTGGATGTTAATTATGAGGTCAGTGTTGCCAGAATCTCTGATAGGCCAGAAGCAGACAGATCACTTGGATATTGATTTGGAGGTCACTGCTGTCTGAGTACCTGGTAGGCCAGCACCAGTCTCATGGATGAACTAGGTGCTTGTGAGGTCACTTCTGCCTGAATATTTGATAGGTCAGCAGCAGGCATATGGCTTGAATGACAATTATGAGGGTGCTGCTGCCTGAGTACCTGAGAGACCATGAGCAAGCTCATAGTTGTTTCACGTGTTTCAGAGTACCTCTTAGGCCAGCAGAGGGTTGATGGCTAGGCTTGGTACTTGTGACATCACTTCTGCCTGAGTATGTAACATGCCAGCAGCTAGAGGTTGCTTCTGATGTCACTGATGCTTGGGCCCAATTGGCCCAAATCACAAGCAGAAGGCTCATGACTGGGAGCTGTGTTTGTGAAGTCATTTCTTTCTGAACACCTTTTTTAGCCCAGGATCAGGCTTGTGGCTGTGCTAGATGCCTGTGAGGTCTTTTCTTCCTGGAAACTTTCCTGGACCCTTCCACAGGTGGTGGGATGCCTGCAATAGCGGTCCCAAGCCTTCAGCCAGCTTTTGCCGTCTCGGCAGTGAAATGTCTCAGCATTTATTTTCCCTGGGTTGGGATTTCTGTGCTCACTAGACAGATGTCCAGCAGAGCCAAGAGGCCTGGGCCCCTAACCACAGTGCTGAGTGGGGGTGGGGATGGGAGTGTTGCACCCACCGTGGTGTGTGGTGCCCACCACTGCCTGGTGGGCTTTTATCCCCCATCCTGTCAAAGCCACTGTATTTCCTGCAGCAGCAAGAGCCATTTCTCATTGTCCCTTATCTGGTGCTGTAGGACTTAACCCCTGGATGGGATCTCGAATGGGACACAGAGGCTTCCTTTATCTTTAGTCCCCATCCATGGACACCATGACCTGGACCTCAGATAAACACCCAAGTGTGCCTAAGTGTGGGAGCAGTGTGACCACTGCATGGGGAAAGTTGTTTCTAAGGGGGCATGTAGGATGCACCCAAGCCCTGGCCCGCTGGACAACAGATGGTGTTGTTCAAGGCTCTGCTTGGAAGGATCCCATGGGAGACAGCAGTGGAAGTCATGGGGCCAGGAGAGCTGATAGACCAGCTGCTCAATGCACAAGGGAAAGTTCAGGGAAGAGAGAGACATGGATTTTCTACCCTGGATGGAGATGTTGTCCAAGTATGCAGAGATGGCATTAGGAAAGCTGAAGTGTAGCTGTTTGTCCCAAAAGTGGGATCGTATACCCGGTGCGCAACATGCCAATATACATGCAGAGTAGAGGTATTTTATTTAAAGCGTATTTGCACAGATATGGGTGCGAGGTGGTATTCCACAAAGCTAGCACACCACAAAAAGGGATCACCACCTATTTATTCCATTACATGATTAGCGAAAACAATAGAGAACCTCCCAAATTTACATTCATTGGCTAGTAACTACCACATTGCTTATTATTGGTTACACATATTTAAATTATTGTGTATGCTCCTAGAAAGGGGTGGTGGTGGTGTAATTTGCATAGTCCCTCAATTGAGTCGGTGGTTGCGATCTCCCCCTGCCACCTCTACCTATACCTCAGCTACTGTGGATTCTGCTGATCTCGTGACAATTACATTTTTCAAATGTAAAAGAACAACTAAGTCTTCATGATTTAATGCTTAAGTACAACTACTTCGTCATCTTCTTGACCACTAAATCCGGGATCATTAATCTTTTTTAATTGTGTTGTCTCCTACTGACCTGCCCCCCTAGATTCTTTCATTTGTCTCCGACATCATAGCTAGAGTTCAAAATTGTAAAAGGGGGAAGTAATGGACAAAGAAAAAATCTCTTGCATTTTTCGTGGAAAAAAGAAAAGGTGGACCCACTGGTTGATGGAGGAACATCAAGGTAGAGAGCACAGAAGCAAACTGGGCTCACATGTATCTCTGGGAGCACAGGGGATGCACTCAAGGTTGCTAGGGTAGCTGGGTGATGTCAATGTGGGATTGGAAAGATCATGATTACACAGGGGAGGTTTCTGTCATACCCACCTTCAAGCAAGGCAGGAATCAGGTGCCAGGAAAACCCAGGAAAGTGTACCAACCAATAGCTTGTTGACATGGGGCTGGTCTCTTTCATTACCCGGACCCTCCGTTTTCCCATTCTGTCTCCTCTCTGAGTGACCTGGATCACTCCAGTTCCCTGCCTTTGGCCCTTCTGAACAACCTAGCATAATCTTTGGGTGCTCCTACAGTCCTCTTCAAACACCCCCAAGTAGGTTTTGTACATTCCTACAAACCCCATTCAATATCCCACAAGAAGTTTGCTCTTTACAGAAGACTGAAGATCATTTTACGCCTTTGTGACAAGGTTACAGTCTTTCTGGAGCCCCTCCTATGTCAAAATAGGGAGGATCCTTCAGTGCCCACCACCACTGACCCAAGAGCTCTGTTTTTTGTTATCTGCTGCTTGAGACTCTGGAGGCCAGGTTGCTATTGAGGGGGATCTCAACATGCTGCAGAATGTCGAGAAGAGCATCCTGAAATCCAGCCAAGGCAGGGGCAGAGTGCTGCACATTGGGGTGGAGTAAACTCAAAAACCCCATGCAAAAATCCAGATAGGGGCCGAGTGACCTAAGAACAGCTTTGCAGAAGAGGCCATGGGGCTCTCTGTGAGGAAGCTGAAGAGGAGTCAGCTGTGTGGCCTGGTGGCAAAGGCTCTCATCCCAAAGTGACCTGAAGGAGTCCAGATCTCTGAGAATCCAGTCCCGAAGCCCACTCCTGTCCCTGGGCTCTGGAGGAAGGCTGAATAAAGGCTTTCCAGTGGAGAAACATGGCTGAGAAGGAAAGCCTGATCCTCCAAGGATGAAGGAGCTAGGATGGGGGCTGTCCCTATTTACCTACCAGAAGGTGAAGAAAAAGAAACAAAGCTGCAGCTGGAGCCAGAGGAGCACAGCTGGGGCAGGGGCTTGTTGACCCTTCAGGGAACAGAAGAGGGAAGGTTGTGCCTACACACTTGTCTGTGGAAGATACTCAGATGTCATCCAAAATTTGTTCTTCTAGTTCTTAGTAAAGGAGAACTTTGTCACTTGAACAGTTCATGCAAATAACATCACAAACTCATTTATTATGACGGTAAAAGCTAACCCATTACATTTTTCACAGTCCCTCCTATACATGAATATTTCTTTCTGAGAACTTTCCTCTTTCATCCCTGTGTTACTTTCAAGGAGACACACTGGCACACACTTCTGAAGATGCAACCAGAATGCGGTGCTTGCCCTTGTGAAAGACCTACAAGTCCCTACTGTCACTCTCCTACCAGAAGCTCTGGTTGCAGACCTTGGCTTTCCTGAGCACCTTCCAGAGGGCATCCCTGACCTCCCTGTTCCTCAAACTATAGATGAGGGGGTTGACCAGGGGTGTGAGGACAGTGTAGAAAAAGGAAAACACTTTGTTGAGCTGCCTCAGGGAGGTTGTTCTGGGCAGCATGTAGACAATGATGAGAGTGCCATAGAAGACAGTGACAACAGCAAGGTGAGAGGAGCAGGTGGAGAAGGCTTTTTGCCTGCCCACATAGGACGGGATCCTCAGGATGGCAGCTATGATAAACACATAGGAGGCCAGTGTGAACAGAAAAGGGAATACTGCATCCAAGAATCCAAATATTAGAGCAACCTGCATAAGCACTCTAGTGTCACTGCAGGAGAGCTCCAGCAATGGAGTAAAATCACAGAAGAAGTGGTCAATTGCTTTGGGGACACAGAACTGCAACTGAGATAAGAGGAAGGTGAGTACTGCAAATAGCAGCAGTCCCCCCAGCCAAGACCCAGCTGCCAGCTGGAGACTCACCTTCCAGGTCATGAGGCTTGCATAGAGCAGAGGCTGGCATATGGCCAAGTACCGATCATAAGACATGGCTGCCAGCAGGTAACATTCGGTACCTGCTAAACTAGAAAAGAAGTAGAACTGTGCCATACAACTGTGAGCAGAGATGGTCTTATCCCTGGTCAGGAAGCTGGCCAGCAGCCGAGGCAGGATGGTGGAGCTGTAGCAGATCTCCAGGGAGGACAGATTGCCCAGGAAGAAGTACATGGGGGTGTGCAGATGCTGATCTGCTATCACCAGCACAACGATGAGGATGTTCCCAAAGACAGTTGCAGTGTAGATGATGAGCAAGAGGACAAAGAGCGGTGTCTGGAGTGAGGGGCCATCGCTCATTCCCAGCAGCAGGAACTTCAATGGTGATGTCCCATTGTCCCATTGCCTTTCCTCCATACAGTGTTGTTTCTCTTTTATTTCTGCAATTCCCCAGAAGAGGAGCTCCAAGAAAGAATGTGTATTTCTATCTTTGCTTTTTAAAAGGTTTGTTAAGGAATCTCTTCACATTGACTCTGTGGGCTCTGTGCCTAGAGAAGGAGTTTCTTCCAGAGACCTCCTCTTATCAAAGAGCTGAGCTGCCCCGTGGAGCTGCTTGTTTCTCACTACGGAAGAAAACGAAAATGTGCATTTGCTCACTCCGAGGTAGACTGCTTTCTTGTGCCCAAACTTGCTCCCAGGAGGACCCAGTTTAGGTATCAAGGACGGAGATCCTTCCGCTCTCAGGAGAGAGAAAGGGTGTTGGATACAACACACTCCTTGCCCTCTGAAAGTGCTTTGTGTGAACGATGCAACACCAGAGGCACTTCTCCCTCCAAAGAAGAGGACAGATACTGCACAAAGCAGGTAGTCCCAGCTCTCCAAAACGCTTGCTGTAGGAGAAAACGGTCCCCCCCACACCACTCCCCACACCCACACAGGCAAATCACTCCCACTGACAGTGAGTCTGGAATTACTGCCTTGGAAAAACAGCGGCGGGGGGGGGCTGTTGATGCTGTGGGACTCTCTGAGAGGATGCCTAAAATAATTTTGTGTATCAAACCATAGAGGAAAAACCGATACAGAAGTTGAAAAACTAAACACAAGGATATTCGTAACTGTGGGAGAATCAGGAAACATAAGAGGCTGTGCTTGAAGGGAAAAGGACAGGGAGGATCATTTCGATCATGCTTTTCCCTCTGCATTGGTGGTTCCTGAGGGGCTTTGGGGTTGCCTCCCTGCACATGCCAGCCCAGTAGCAGGACAGCATGGGGCCATCCCAGCCGTTTGTGCTCACAGGGCTCCCTGCTCAGCATTGCTGGGCACTGGCAAGGATGTCCCCAGGGCATCTGGGCATGAGGTGGGACGAGCAGGATCAGGGGCATGGGAAGTGTGCAGCCAGGGAAAGTCCATGCCTGAGAAACATCCCTCTGCTCAGCACCACCTGGAAGAGGGAATCCCCTGAAATCTCACATCCACCTCCTGGATTGGATGAATTGCTCCTGCAGGCGGTAGTGACAGACATCATTAGGAGAGGTTACCGGAGTCACTGCAGAGCCACTGATGTCCCCAAACCTCCTCACAGAATAGAAGTGAGAAACATGACCACTGGACATCAAAACCTACATAACCATCATACAGCCAGAGAGAAAGTAAGGAAAAGACAGAAATAAAGCAGAAATTTGTGTGGTGAAATGAAGGTCACAGGCAGTCTGGACCAAAACACCCTGCCCAGACACTACTTCCATCCCAGCCAATGTAGTGAGCGCCCAGGGATGACTCAAACACACACCAGCACAGCTTTAACTCAGCACCACTGGCCCCTCCCAAGCATCTCTGGTCCATGGTGCCCCGGGTCAGGGTCTCTGAGGGAAGGAGGGAGCTGGGGTGGGAAAACATGCAGGAGAGGACAGGACTCTGGTCTCCACTTCCAAGTTTCTTCTTTTGAAAGATCCAGCAGTTTCATTAACAACACCCAGGTTTTACTTAAAATCGTAGAATCACAGAATGATTCCACCCTTCCAATTCTACCCTCAGCATCTCCAGCACCCACCTGCACTCCTCAGCATGAAGGGGTGAATTCTGTTCTGACAGTAGTTGGAGATGAGAACTGAGGTCAGGGTCTCACCCTCTGCCTCCTCTCCATCATGCTATTCCCTTCCTTGGGCTCTGCAAACCAGAGAGTGTCTCTGTCAGGCCAAGACTCCTGGCTCTGCCCTTGCTGTGTTCACCCAGTGACTTTTCAGCAGCACCCAAACGCCCCTGCTCTCCAGAATACAGAGACCAGTATTCAGTCTCCCAGATGCTTTTTTCTCTGTGTCTCAGCTCTCCCTAAGGAATACTCTTAATGAACAGAATATAACTGATTCCCTGGTGGAATGACAGCTCTGAGCTGGCAGAAATTGTGTTCCTATCTCAAGAAAGGGCTGATGTCCCCTAAAGCCTCTAGGTAGGCTTGAAACCTACTCTTTTGAAAAGGGGAAGCGAGGCAGGACAGTGAGCAGGGATGTCTCATGGTCATGGGGGACAGGACACACGACGGGCTCCCAGAAAATATATTCACCTCTTCTTTTCGCAGATAACTGTACTGTCATTGACTCAGACTAATACAGTCCTGATTGCCTGAGCTGATCCCTCTGCCTCCCCAAATGGACAGCAGGGAGGAAGAGGCAGAGCCAGCAGCATTTTCTCCAGCCGCAGAGAACTTGTCCTCTTGGGTGGGTTGAGATCTCCTTGGGTGCCAGGCTCTGTTGCCTGTCAGGAGAGGACCCTGAGGTGGCAGGGCCTGGAGTGTGATAGGATGAAGGCATCCAAGATACCGAGATGTCCTGACAGTAAAGCTCCATCTTTCCTACCTAGGAGGTGTCCAGGAGCCTCCTTTGCTCCTGTTATGGTGGTGGCCACAAATGGTGCCACAAGGCCTGATTTCTCTCTGCCCTGTTGGACTTTCCACGTCATGAGGTGCAGTGTCCTTGGCCCCTGCTCAGTCTGGAAAGGCAGGAGAGGGTGGCACCATGGACACAGATATTAGTGCTGTAGCTGCTAAAGATAAAAGAAATTAATCTTAGTGGGAGGACTAACATGAGCTTAACATTCATACTCCTCATCTGGAGGGAGCCCAACACTGGACGCAGTGCTCAAGTTATGGTCTCTGAGATGTTGACTGGAGAACAAGGATCGTGTCCCTTGATCTGCAGGCCATGTTCCTGTTCATGCAGCCCTCAGTGCCGTGTGCCTTCATTGTTGCTTGGGCTCACAACTGCCTATCAGACACCTTGCTGCCCACCATGGCACCAAGGGCCTTTCCACAGAGCTGCTTCCAGCCCTGCTGGTATTGGGGCCCCAAGAGCACTAAGAGTACCTTGGACCTGCCTTGCCCCTGTGGACCTGCTTGCTGAGCGCTGGGATCTCTCAGACTCTCATTACCCTCATTGGACCTAATCCTGATTAGCTGAGTTGTGCTCCTGTCTTGATCTCGATTCTACCTCATCATGACAAAGCTCTCATGATCTGGACACACAGCTGATCCAGCCTGCTGTCTCCAGGCCTGCCCCAGTCCCCTTGCTGGGGAAGCCCCTGCCCTGCTGGCTGTGCTTCTGTGCTGGGTTCATGGTTCTGCATGCCTCAGCAGCTGGACCTTGCTGCTCCCCAAACACACCATGACATGTTTTCATTTAAGGATCATTTCTGGAAATGGGATTTCTTTTTTCAACCTCTCCGCACAGAGAATAACTGAACATGGGAAAAAAGTTACTCTCACCCCAAGCCGTTGGACACTCTCCATTAACGAAGAGGCATGAAAAAATCCCTGAAAGGGCCCCCTTTACTCCGCTGATGCCCCATAGAGTCCAAACTGTCAGGGCCCTGAGGCAGGTGCCTTTGTCCCACTCAGGGGCAGTGGGTTGTTTGAGCCCAGGGCCATCCCCATTGAGAGGCCCCATTGAGAAACCACTCCACACTCAGGCACTGCTTTTCAGCTGCTCAGGCTTTCACCCTTGCCATTTCCCTGTGCTTCGTTGCAGGTATGCCCTCACCTGGTCTCATTCCTCCCTGGCTTGGACCCTGATCCCAACCTGCTGGCTTGCCTTTCTCAACCCACTTCAGACCTGTCTCATTATGACTGACCTGCTGAGTGCTGACTGGGCTCTCAGCTGACCCCTGCAGCCATCACTGCAGACACCGGGTCTCCACTTCTTGCTCCAGTGCTGTCCATCACCAGACCTTTTCCCCTCATTTGACTCTCCAGAAGGATGACAGGCGTCCAGGCATCCTGCCAGCTGCCCTTCCACCCCAGAGGAAATATCAACCTTCCAGTCTCCTGGGCATGGCTGGAGAAAGAGGCCCGAAGTGCGGGAACAGGAGGGATTGGGTTTGCTCAACTTACTTTTATGGTCAGAGGTGGGGAAATGGGGACTGTACTTCTTGCTTCTGTATTCTCCAGGTAATATAAAGCTCTCCCCAGACTTTTCTGGAAACTCTTGAAAACATGCCCAGTTGTGTATGCTTGCTGAATGCTTGCTCGCTGGACTACAGGGAGAAGATGATACCCTCTCTAGAGGAAAGAACAAATTTCCCTTGAATTGCAGGTTCATACTCAGTGGATGACAGATTTCAGTCTCTGACTGTGTCTTCTCTCTGAATGCATCACCAGGACTTCCAAGGAGCCTGATGGTCTCAACAGATTAGAAGAGTGGCCCAAGAAGCCAGGATGGTGCAACAGTGGCTCTGAGCAGCGTCAGTGAACACAGCAGGCAGCACGTCCTCAGTCATGGCCACCAGCCAGATTTGCAAGGAAACCAAAGGCCTTTCCTTAGATACTTCTCTTCAGGCACCTGAGCAGTATTGACAACCTCCATGGGGATCCTTCCACCAAAGCTGAGGAGAAGAGCTGCTTCTTCTGTAACTACCTTTGCACAGATGATCCTCAGCACCTCAAGTTGCTTCTCTTAGTTTCCCTCATCATCCCATCTTGGATTTGGCCTGAGGACACCCTCTCAGCAATGCTGTAGTCTCCAGAAAGTGTCCTTCTTGGACAGTGAAATGCTAAGTATGAACAAGTGACTCCCAAACCTGCTACAACACCAAGACAAAAAATGACACACAGGTGAGTCCCATCTGGAATGGGGCCTCCTGGAGATTATCTGCCCCAACACACTGTTGTAAGCATGAACAAAGATTTTGTTGTCCAGGGCCCTGCCAGGCTGAATCTTGAGCTTTTCCAGCAAGGGTATTTTGCAGCAGGGAGGTGCTGGTTCATTGTGATCCCAGTAAGAAAGGCATCCAGACTCTGTTAGGTGTCATTCGCAATCCTATTACTTAGAGCTAACACTAGAAGAAGAGAATAACATCTATAATTTTACATCCCTTTAGATGCCAGGAACCTGGAGTGGTACAGCAGCAAACATGACGCCAGCTCATGA